AGAACTTTGTGGATGCAACTACTCTAAGGGTAGAGAGAATGAGAAGTGCTAGAATAGAGTGAATGAGAAGAGTATTAGAAATGGGTGGATGCTTTGTGATCATCACCCGACAGTTATGAGAATCGGGTTGATGCTTTGTGATCACCACCCGAATAGCCATTAGAAATGGGTTGATGCTTTGTGATCATCACCCGATAGGTATTAGAAGCGGGTGGATGCTTTGTGACCATCACCCGGTTAGTTATTAGAAAAGGGGTTGATGCTTTGTGATCATCACCCGATATTTATGAGAAGTTGGTTGATGCTTTGTGATCATCACCCGACAGTGATTAAGAACGGGTTAATGCTTGGTGATCGGTACCTGAAAGTAATGAGGAACGGGTAGGTGCTATGTGGTCTCCACCCGATAGTTACGAAAACCGGGTAGGTGCTTCGTGATCCCCACTCGGTAGTCACTAAGAACGGGTTGGTGCTATGTGGTCTCCACCCGATAGTACGAAAACCAGGTAGGTGCTTCGTGATCCCCACTCGGTAGTCACTAAGAACGGGTTGGTGCTGTGTGAATTCCACCCGATAGTCATGAAGAGTGAGATGGTGCTGTGTGAACGCCATCCGACCGTACCTCCGGTAAGATGAGGCCATGACGTTTAGTAAGAAACAACAGAAAGTGTGAGGAAAGAATTAAGAGTAATACATACAGGGATAGATAGATAGAGGGTTTTACTTACTGAGCATTATTTTGTGCTCACCCCGTTATTTTCCTTTGTGGATGCAAGATCTAGGTATTGATGCAGTCAGAGGGGCGTCGGCAAGCGAGGAGCAATAGCTACACTGTTTCCCCTGATTTGTCTTTTAAAATGACACTTTTGTAAATGACGTTCTTTGTGTATATAAGACGTATGACTTATAATGAAAAGAAAGTTTTTGGGCCCAATTTTCTATTGTTATTATGCATGCATTGTATTAGTTTACAGTAGTTTTTACATGCATCTCATCCCGAACATTTTCCTTGGACTGAGGCTTCAATTGTTGATGATTCTTGTCACATCGGGTCTTTATTGAGAGCTTATGTAATGCTTTCTCTCTCTCTAGCTAGTATACTCGTAAAATAAACAGTAATATAAGAATATATATATGTAGATGAGTATGAAATAATGGGCCCATATCTAATTTTTCTTTATATACAAATCTTTACATAATGTAATAAGTCACAAAACATCAACTTGACAGTGTTGCCAAACCATTCCACTTCTTGACGTTCCAAGCGACACATCTCACCTACTACTTGCAAAAACATTGAAAACAAAAGGGTGAGCACTAATTGCTCAGTAAGTAAACCCGCTATGCTACTCTTCTATCTCCATTGCTCATATTTTGAATTTCTTTCCTTACATCACACTTCTCTATTCTTCTATGTTCTTTCTATATTTTTTCTCAATTTCTAATTTCTCATTACTCATGATAGTAGGCATGGTATCATGCATAGGTACGATGCAAATGCAAAAATGCATAAGATGTGCATTTTCTTTTCTATTTTTCTATTTTCTTATTCTGTTTTCTGTTTTTCTATTTTCTTATTCAGTTTTCTGTTTCTTTTCTCTGTATTTCTTTTTGTACTTTCTTTCTTTGTATTCTTTCTTTCTTTGTATTCTTTTCTTTCTTTTCTTTTCTATTCTTTCTTTTCTTTTCTTTTCTTTTCTATTCTATTCTTTTCTTTTCTTTCTATCCTTTCTTTCTTGCCTATCGAACTCGGTTGAGGCATGGATTCGGAACCCTAGCTGTGTGAGTGTATTCTCTAATTCTGGGTACAGTCCTCATCCACATGCATTTCTAACGGACTGTACAATTCTTCTTTCTGATTCTGAGGCTGCTCACTAAAGGCGGCGTGCATGCGGGGCTAGGTCACTCACGGGTTCCCCATCGCAATAACCTGCTCTTCTCTTATCTTTTTACATTTCTTTAAATAAAATTTCAGATTTGAATTATTCTTTAATATTTCTCTTTTCTTTCTCTTTGTTCTCCGTTCTTTAATGCTCTTATGAGTATGTATGCATGTAGATGGGTTCATGCTTATTATTCTTTCTAAATTCACATGTTTGGATGCAATAATGCAATATGGAATGTTAACATGTCATTCTCTACCATCTACAAACTCATCTCAAGATATCAAGTAATCATAATCATGCATGCACTTCTCTTTGACATTTCATCAAACAATTTATATGCACACACAAACTCTCAATTGGCTACACTTCTACATCTCTCTTAAGCCACCAAAATTTGGAACATAACCCACTAAAATCAACGTCAAACCTGGCCAGGGTTTTCACTTCATAAATTCTACTCCAATTCTTCCATAATTCATCCAAACTCTCATCAAACATCAAATACACAAACACTACTTCTCATGGATAAATTCTAACCATCATTCAACATCCATTCCCTCAAAAATTCTTCACATATAAGCACATACATGCATTAAAGAAGTTCTCTACACAATATTACTTCAATCATGACTAGGGTTGGGTTTACTTACCTTAGATGTGAGCAATCGAACACTTTAGTAGTCTTCCTTGACACAACTCCCTTTCTCTTAAATCTTATGAACACAAATCATAAGAATTCAACACTTTAAAAATTAAATCTCACATCTTAGTGCAAGGATCTTACCTAAGGATGATTGGGATTGAAATTCCACTAAAAAAAAAAACCAAGATCTATGAATTTTCCTTGAAAAGTGATTGAAGAAATTTGAGAGAACTTGGGAGGAAAGTGGCATGAATGGAAGGGGAAGAATGGCCAGAGTTTCATTCTTGAACTCTTAATGTAACAAAATATTACTTATAGTTTCCCATTTTAACCTTGTACTTTCTATGAAATTCCATCTATGTTCCTTAGTCAATTACCATTATGCCCTCATTTTTATTAAATTTTCCATGTTATTCTACTTCTTTTCACTCCCGACTTTTTCAAACCCCTAATGAAGGTTTAAGGAATTTTCTTCACACTTGTTCAAGATAACTTTAACAATTCAATTAAGGATATTAGGGCATAAATAAAGCTACGTACCTTGATGCTTAACCACCCATTTCCATCCCTTGGTCATTCCTTTTAGGATTCGAGCGTTCTCATCGACAACTTTTTGATTTTTTAACTTTCCATCAGCATTCTTGAACTGAGGAGTTCGTCCCTTGTGAAGACATTTGCTCGATTGTGGCTCATCTAGGTATGTTGTGTAAACTTTTGGTTTATGATCTTCATCTTCAATTTGCCTTGACTTGACCATGCATCCCTTAATTGGCGATTTAGAATCATCAATCTTGGAAGTTTTAATTGCCGACTGATCCACCAAGTCAATTTTGAAATATGAATCTTACTTCGATGGAACTTTTAGAGTCTCAAGAACATTGAATGTCACTTCTTCCTCTTGCACCTTCATGATCAACTTCCCCTCTTGTACATCAATTAAGGCTCTTCCGGTAGCAAGAAATGGTCGTCCCAAGATGAGAGAAATCTCCTTGTCTTCTTCCATATCCAACACAAATAAATCTGTCGGAAATATGAATTTATCCAACTTAACCAATACATCTTCAATAATGCCCCTTGGATGCTTGATGGATCTATCTGCAAGCTGAAAGGATATGGTTGTAGGCTTCACTTCACCAATCCCTAGTTTCTTGAAAACGGAAAAAGACATTAGATTAATACGAGCACCTAGATCACATAAAACTCTATGACATAAGGGATAGTGAAATTACCTGGATCTTTGAGTTTTGGTGGTAGCTTCTTCTGCAAAATGGCACTGCACTCCTCTGTAAGCATCACTGTTTTCTCCTCTTCCAACTTTCTTTTGTTTGCCAGAATTTCCTTAAGGAACTTAGCATAGCTTGGCATTTGTAGCAAGGCATCTGCAAAAGGAATGTTAATGTGCAGTTTTTTAAATGCATCAAGGAATTTCATGAATTGCTTATCCTAATTTTGTTTTCTAAGCCTTTGAGGAAAAGAAACAGGAGGGCTATGATGTGCCAACTCCGGCAGTATCTCAGGAAATGGCAATTTTTCCTTCTTTTGCTTTGGCATCTTTCCCCCTTTTTGTTCTTCTTCTTTGGGACTCTTTAGCTTTTCCTCAACAATGATTTCTTCCTCGATTTCTTCATTAGACTCTTCTTTTTCTTTTGGTGGGTTCTCATCTTTCCCTTTTTGTTCAACCTCTTCCAAGATTGTTCCATTTCTTAGAGTTATTGCATTTACTTGTTCACGTGGATTTGTCACCGTGTTACTTGGTAAGGAACCTTGAGGTCTCTCATTCAACTTTTCGGCTATTTGACCCATTTGTACTTCCAAGTTTCGAATCAACAACCCTTGGTTTCTGAAATTCACCCTCGTATAACTTATAAAACCTATGTCTCTTGCATGAACTTTCCAAACATATCCTCCAACTTTGAAACTCTTTGATCCCCTGGTTGATTATTCACCCCTACTTGATTGTTTGACACTGTTCTTTAATTCCATTGATTATTCTAATTGCCCCAAGACAAGTTTGGATGATTTCCTCAATCAGGATTGTACGTGTTGGAGAAAGGATTATTCTATTGTCTCTGATTCCCAGCCAAATAATTGACCTGTTCTGATGATGAGGATGCTGAAGCAAAATTATTCCCCACTTGGCATTCAATGCTTGCATGGTTACCTGCACAAAAATCACACGTTACTTAAGGTGTTTGAATTGAATTTACTTGCATACCTCCTAATTGTTTCTAAAGCGCTGTCAGTTGGGCTCAAATGGCCGTGTAAGCATCCACTTCATGAATACCCATAGACTTCTCTGAATGAATTCTTTCATTGGGTCTCTGTTAGTTGTTACTTGCCAGAACTTCAAGTAACTCATACGCTTCTTCAAGTGTCTTGTTTTGCAATGCTCCTCCAGATGTTGCATCTACATTGTTTGTACATTTGTTAGCAACCCATTATAGAAAGTTTGGACTTGCATCCAAACAGGCAAACCATGGTGTGGACACATTCTTAGTAGTTCCTTATATCTCTCCCATGCTTCATAAGTGACTCGTTCTCCTCCTATAGAAATGATGTGATATCATTTCTCATCTTTGCAGATTTCGTTGGAGGGAAGTATTTAGTCAGGAACTTTTGTGCTAGTTCATTCCAGGTTGTGATTGTTCCTGTTGGTAGTGCCATTAACCATCCCTTTGCTTTATCCCTCAATGAAAAGGGGAATAATCTTAACCGATGGCATCATCTGACACTCCATTGGCCTTGAATGTGTCGTAGATCTCTAAAAAGTTTGCAATGTGTGAATTTGGAACTTCCTTTCCATCTCCCATAAATTGTACCGACTGTTGGATCGTTTGGGTGATTGTTGGCTTTATTTCAAAAGTGTTGGCTTGCACCGGTGGTCTAGTGATACTTGGACCACTACCACCAACGGAGGGTACTAAGAATTCCCTCAAAGTTCTGGTTTCAGCCATCTCAATGACTATTGCCTCTCGTTCTTTTCTCTCTCTAATAAGTCTTCTTGTAGTTCTTTCAATCTCTGGATCAATGGGAACCATTGGATGTTGTCTCGCTCTTCGTATAAACTACACAAGATCACAAATGAATGAAAAGAAACACAAAATTAAACTAAAACTAATTAAAACAAAAATAAAACTCCAATCTAGTGAAAATTATAAAACTTCAATATTAACACTAAATCAATCCCTGGCAACGGCGCCAAAAACTTGATATGTTGATTTGACAACATGCAATGTGTAGCAAGTGCACTAGTCGCAAAAAGTAATAAAATGATGAATAGAGTATTGTTCCCAAAAGGATTGCGTGTTAAGTACTAATTTTCCTAGTTTTGTAACTAGTTAAAGAAAATAAAAATTTTTGGATTTGCGGGAGACAAAAACAGAAATTAACAAAAAATCAATAACGTAAATTAAAATTCTAACAAATTAAGAAAATATCAACTGATTACGAAAATATCAATTCAAGACAAAGAGGTTAGGGTTTGACTTCACTAAGTTACTCTGATTCAATCTGTAGTTGATGTTGCTATTAAACTCACATGTGATGATTATAAATCGAATTCCCTAAGTTGTAAAACATACCTTCTCAGGTTATATTTTCCTACTTATCCCTATTAAGCTTCTGCACCCAACAAAATGAAGATTAATAGTTCAAAGTCTTTTAAGCTAAATGGAACCCTAAAGTGATTTCATAAATCTTCGAACCTATCTCTAGCGTTCATTAAACTATGGTATTTACTCTAAGAGGCTAACACATGAATCACTTCTCAATCTCATCATGCTCAACATTTAATTCAATTTCATTAAGAACAAGAATAAATACAAAATCCAATGCAATAGAACATAAAAACAAAATCTAAAATAAATTAAACCATTGTAATCAAAGTTAGGTCAAAACCCTAACCCAAAAGTGGATTAGTTCATATTTAAATTTAAGAAATTCAGAGAATAAACTGTAAGCAAAGAATTCAACATACTAAAATAGTAAGAAGAGAATGAAATCTTCCCTAAATGAAGACCCAAAATTGCTCCAACCTCTAATTTCTTCCTCTTCTTCTCTCAAAATCCGAACTTCCTCAAAAATGAGCTAAGGCTCTCTTAAATAGTCGACCAAAACCCTAGGATTCTAATGCAATACATTTAAAATGCAACGTTTTAATAAACAGAAGAATTGCAGTTTTCGTTGTAACAACTGCTGTAAACTAGTACCATGCATGCATAATAATAATAGAAAATGGGCCCAAAACTTTTTTTTTTTTTTAATTATATGTAATAAGTCTTTTATACACAAAGAGCATTATTTACAAAATGCCATTTAAAAAGACAAAAGACAGGGGAAACAGTGTAGCTATTGCTCCTCACTTGCCGACGCCCCTCCGACTGCATCATCACCTAGATCCTACATCCACAAAGGAAAATAACGGGGTGAGCACAAAATAATGCTCAGTAAGTAAACCCTCTATCTGTCTATCCCCGTATGTATTTCTCTTAATTCTTTCCGATGCCCCTCCGACTACATCATCACCTAGATCCTACATCCACAAAGGAAAATAACGGGGTGAGCACAAAATAATGCTCAGTAAGTAAACCCTCTATCTGTCTATCCCCGTATGTATTTCTCTTAATTCTTTCCGATGCCCCTCCGACTACATCATCACCTAGATCCTACATCCACAAAGGAAAATAACGGGGTGAGCACAAAATAATGCTCAGTAAGTAAACCCTCTATCTGTCTATCCCCGTATGTATTTCTCTTAATTCTTTCCTCACACTTTCTGTTGTTTTCTACTAAATGTCATGGCCTCATCTTATCGGAGGTACGGCCGGATGGCGTTCACACAGCACCATCTCACTCTTCATGACTGTCGAGTGGAGTTCACACAGCACCAACCCGCTCTTAGTGACTACCGAGTGGGGATCACGAAGCACCTACCCGATTTTCGTAACTATCGGGCGGAGACCACAAAGCACCTACCCGTTCCTCATGACTTTCGGGTGACGATCACAAAGCATCAACCCGTTTCTAATAACTGTCGGGTGATGATCACAAAGCATCAACCCATTTCTAATACTCTTCTCATTCACTCTATTCTAGCACTTCTCATTCTCTCTACCCTTAGAGTAGTTGCATCCACAAAGTTCTCTACTCATAGAGCAAGTGCATACACAAAGTTTCCTACTCTTTCTTAGGTCACTTCTCAATGCACAATTAATGCCTATGGATGGTTCATCTCCACTAATGCACTTATGAAATGCCAACATGCAATGTTGCAAGAATTAAGGTTCACTACTCATACTCAAACCTCTATTAGGCATTTCATCAAACAACTCAAGTGCATAATAAAACTCTACTATAACAATAATTCTAAATCTTTCTCTAACCATCCAAAATGGGGAGAAACCCCCTCACATAGCCACATATCCTGCCAAAGAAAGACACTTCCAAAAGGATTCCTCAATACCCTTCAATTCCATCTCAAACTACCTTTCCAACCCACATCTCACTTCTTATATTTGAAATGTATAAACAATCACAAAGCACTAGAAATCTCTATTTAAGCCTCAATAACATGGCATATAACATGTATATAACACACATACATAAGTGCTATCAAAACCCTAATCAAGAAAATTCCCAAATCTCAACTTGGGTTGGGGTTTACTTACCTTGTTATGGAGAGATTTCACTAGCTCTTCCTTTCACTTGGTTTGCTTGACTTTTTCTCTACTCTTAAACAAAAGAACAAAAACCCTCAATATTCAATATATACAAAAACTCACAAAGCTTCACAACCAAAGCAAGAATCCTTACCTTAGGATGCCTTAGGTTGATTTTCTACCCCAAATCACTCCAAAAGCCCTTTAAAACTCCTTGATCAAAAGAAAGAGAATTTGAGAGGAAGCAAGAGAGGAGAGTGGCGATGGAGAAGAAGAATGAAGGGTTTGCAATGACTTAATTCCTTTTAATGAAATTTATGCACAAGCATTCCCATTTTGCCCTTACTCTTCCTTGGGAATTCCATCTATATCCTTTGATTCATTACAAACACACCCCCATATCAACATATTCTCCATGAAAATTCCTTACATTTTACTCCCCACTTTTCCTACTAATTAGGGGTAGAATGGTCAAATTGCCCTTAGGGAAGAAAATATCTAAAACTTAACAAACATTTTGGTCGGCCCGTCGCCGCGGCGAAACTGTCCAGCAGTTTCCCATGGCTTCAACACCTCTTCGCCCCGGCGAAGCCTGGAACACTGAACTTCTTCTATTTTCAACCAATTTCAAAGCAAGTGTTCAACATATCGCTCAATCAAAGGTCAACCAAACAATAATACTAATAAACGAACTCAAATAAGAGCAAAAGAAGAAACATTAGCTATGTACCTCAAGTGGGGCATTACATTCGCCGTGGCATCAAATTGAAATCTCGCTGAACCATCTGACCCGAGGCTAGCTTGCCGCGGCAAAGAATTATCTTCGCCATGGCAAAATTTGCTCATCTTTTCTGAAATTATGAAACTGCTCTCTGCTTGAATCTTTGATCTTCGTGATCCCTAATAGGAACAAGCTTCATAATGCTTCCACTCAGCATCAGAATTTCCCCGATTCCTTAATTTCTCTTGATTCCGGGTCCAGAAACTCAATTTCGCTATATTTAGCTCCAGTTGCATGTTTTGGCCTGAAACATAAAATATATGAGTTTAAGGTTCAATTCAGGCATAAAACGACTTAAGAAGTATCCAAAATCCTACCAAAAAGTACATAAAAACAATATAATCCTAGGATTATCACATCATGTCCTTTAGGCTTGGGCTTGGGATTAGCCTTCACCTTTCCCTTGCCCTTACCCTTACCCTTTCATTTACTACCAGCTACCAGTAAAATAGGCTTGGACTTCTTCAAGTCCTGCTCTGCAGTCCTTAGCATGTTCAAAAGCTCCGACAGGGTTTTTACCATAGCGTTCATATTGAAGTTCATTATGAACGGTGCATAAGAGTCATGCAACGATTGTAGAATTAAATCCACTTGTAATTCTGCATCCAACTCAAACCCCAAAGTCTCAAGCCTTTCCATGTGCTCGATCATTTTGAGCACATGAGGGCCAATTTGGGCTCCCTCGGTCAGGTGACTTCCAAGCAGTGCTTTTGACACCTTGTATCTCTCATGTCGAGCATTCCCTTTGTAAAGCTCCTTGAGGTGTAGAATGATGGCAGCAACATCCATATTCTCATGCTGCTTTTGCAGCACTGGTGTCATCGATGCTAACATCAAGCATTGAATGTCATCAGCATCATCAATGAACTTTTGATAAGTATCCTTTACTTCCTAAATGTCATCAAGATCAAGCTGAGCCATGTATGGCTTATCAAGGATATACAATTTCTTTTCGGACTTAAGTATAATCCGAAGATTATGATACCAATCCGAGAAATTGGATCCATCTAACCTGTTTTCTTTCTCGATTATCGGTCGCAGGTTCATAATGCTCATTTTTAAGTGAATCTACAATTCAGAAAAGTAAAGTCAATATAGTGTTTATTATTTCTTAATATGGTCTTTTATTAAAAACACTC